GGAAGAGGGACAAGTCATTAGCTGCCACTCCGTCGAGGCATGGACTGATCATCTCCAAAAGGGCAACGAATCCAAAAAACTCGTACGTGCCAACTCATTCATCTGATCTCAATTCAATTATGCCATCAATATAAACAAAACAATGTTAATTTCACTTTTCTTATCATTTGACATGATGCATCCGTGACTGGGTTGTTTATGTCTCCTATGTATCTGCCTTTATGAATATTATGTTTCAAGGCCATCCATGGATTCGATCTGTTTTCATTGTTATTATTATTATTATTATTATTCATTTCATGCGCCCTTAATTGGTTCTGAATCTTGTTCTTAGGAATTCTGTAAAAGTTGTTGTTTGTGTTTTTGACGATTATTTGTGTCGTTTTTGTTCTGTTGAGAACTAGGCCGAATTTTTTTTTTCCTTTTTTTTATGTGAATATAAATTTGTAATTACATCTCAATGTACTCATATGGGCTGCTATGATGACAATTTTAATATGGGCTGTGGCTTTGGGACATGTTAGGTTTTTCATTGGTTGTGCACACTGTTACTCATGTGACAATTGCACTTTTCGTAGGCTACATGTAATTATGGGATCTTAAAGCCAAATCAAATATTCTCTTTGTTTGATGCCTTTGTTATCTCCACCATAGAAAAATAACACTTCAGGAAAAACACACTTAGGGAAACAAGCAATTTCTATCCGTAATCATAAGCACAGTTACCCTTATATCGTAATCATCTTCATACAGTGTGTTTGTTTCTGGTTATTAACTAATCGTATTTCGGAAAATATATGGATAAAAAAATGTATTTTCTTATGTTTGTTATAAAAAAAAAAACTATTTTCAGCTTAAAACATAACTTCTATAATCCTATGTTTTTATTCTTGAAAAAAGTAGTTGTTAAATTGATTTCCATAGGGTGAGAATTAAGTTTTTTATTTTTATCTTTTTAAACTCTTTCTTACACTATTTTTGTAAAACTATTCTCAACTTAACCAAACATATTTTTTTTAAATATCTAATAATGTTATTCAATATTAAAGTAATACTTCACCACTAAAGAAATCTATCTCAATTGATTGATTAGGATGCATGAATATCGTAAATTTCTTTGATACATCCGTGTTGAATTTATATGGATCACAAAAATAATACTCCACTTAGCTAGGAAACATACATCATGAACAAAAATTAATTTTTAGCTATCAATTTTGAAATATTGTGTAAATCGTGTATATAGACAAAAAAAAATACTCTAAAAATTTTTTTTTTCCAAGAATAAATGTTTATAACTTAGGAAAAAATATCCTAAATAAAGTACTGAGTTTTGCAGCCATCATAACTATGTCCTAAATATCATTTAGCTAAAATAAAAATGTTTTGATAATAACCATGTCCTTGTAACCATGATTGTAAACACTTGCAATCAGACTAGATTAAGTTGTGTTAGAGCATCTCCAAATGGGAGAAATAAAATGCAGATTTAATTTTTAAATTGAGGTCAAGAAGCTGGTAAATAAGTTTTGTTTAATATATAAAGAGTCTAACTCTAATGAGTAGAGAATGTGATCAGCTAGCAACCAAAATAGTTGAGGGTATAACTAGATTGGTTGGACTTACTCAAGAAAGAGCACCGAAAGAGAATCAATGTCCATAATGAACTGGTTGGTTGTGGGTCGGCTGTTTATGGAGTAGTAATATGCAATATGTGCAATTCATCAAGAAGGGGCATTATGTAGTTTGAATTGTAAACATGTTATATAACTTTTTAAAGGTAAAATATTTATATACTTGATGGACTGAGAAATATTATATTTAGACCCCTTTCTATAACTTTTTCCCTCAGTTTTATTAATATCAAATCTTAGACCTGCCATTAATGCAGAACAGCAGAAGAGAAACTTTTATTAGAAGAAAAAAATACTATACGTGAAAAATATGTAACTTATTTTTTAATAGTTTTTTTCACTTTTGTTAAGACTGATGTTAAAGTGATTTGTAATATACTTAATTATATTTGAAATAATGATAAATAATGCTTGTGAGAGCTATTGATAGTCTGCAAATTACGAAAAGCGTATTAACTACTCCAACAACACAATGCCCATTATTGAGGGAAGTTGTTTTTCACTGTGTTTCATAAGGACTTTTATGATTTTTGCTTTTTGGCATGAAATGGTGTTGTTTTCGGGAATACATGTATTGTTTGTAATTATAAAACTGCATGTTGAACTTGAATGTATCCTCTTCTGAGTCTGTTACTAGACCTTTCGAATTGTTTTTTAATGTTTTATCATGTCTTAAATTTGTGCAAAATGCAAAATAAAAGACTTAGGAATTCATCACATTATGCTTATATCTCGAATTTGCTAGCCATCTTAACTTATAGTTCCATGGAAACTAGGCCTGTTTGGTTTGAAAAACGAAAGTTTTCTGTTTTTATTTGCATCAGTAGTTAGAAATATCACATTATTTTTGCTTTATTCTAATTTCGCTTTCAGTTGATTCTAGTTCGATGATCTTTAATATTCCAACAGCTCTGTATTGTTATCACCATTCACCAGGACGTTGGTTTAATTGTTTGTTTGCAAGAATCTGAATTTACTTTCTTTAGTGATTTCATCAAGTCTGCAACTGAGACATATATACAGTCATACAATGCTTTTTTCTTCTATACTGCATGCATAAGTTGCTCTGCTATCTCCTTTCATGCACTGTAAATTTTCCAGAATATTATGATTTGTATTTATATTTCATTGGTAATGAAAAAATTGAGATATATATTTACCTTTCTAATTGTGTCAGATTGTTGTGGATTTTACTGCTTCTTGGTGCGGACCATGCCGTTTCATTTCACCATTTCTGTCTGAGTTGGCTAAGAAGTTTACAAATGTCATATTTTTAAAGGTGGATGTGGATGAATTGAAGGTAAAAATAAAATATTAATATTTTTAGGTATTTTTAATAGTTTGATATTGTTTTTTATCAGAATTAGAATTTTATGTCGATGTTATGTATTTATATATAACGTAGATTTTATAATATACACATACATATTATAAAAGTAGAATTTTAATTCTGATTAAAGAATAACATCAACAATATTTATATTTATAGTAATCTATCCAAGTTTTATTCAATTAATAATTTTTCTAGAAAAAAAAAAAAAGCAGAGTAATTTTGAGAGAGAATTCATTTAGAAACTAATAATTAATAATAACTGATTGATTGCAGACTGTTGCTGAAGATTTTGCTGTTGAGGCTATGCCCACTTTTGTGTTTGTGAAAGAAGGAACGCTTCTTGGCAAAGTGGTGGGAGCAAAGAAGGAAGAACTGCAGCAGACAATAGAGAAGCATGCGGCTTCATCTAGTGCTTAATCTTGCTGCTGTTAGTTGTTACTTTCACCTTCAGAGACATAATTTATGCTTTCATCTTTATTTTTATAATATCGTACTAGACTTTTTCTTTTTGTTATTTCTGTTATTGCACCAATCAGCTTTATAAAAGGTGATGACTCCTATGATCAGCTTTCTTCCGTCTTGAATAATAGTGGATGCTGCTTTATCATATGTAACTATTTTGCTCTACTTGTTTCTTATGCTATGCTCTATTCATTCTAGGGAAAAAATAAAAATCAATTTATTTTGAACAAGGGAAAGAAAAGTAATCAACACTTAGTGTGTGTTTGGTTTCAATTTTGAAACTTAATTTCTTTGTCTCTCCACGTCCAAGTAGCAATTTAAGGAGAAGCTATTATTTTCTCCTTCCAGTCAAACGTGAAAAATCACGTTTTGACGCTGTTCCAAACACACATTGTTTCCCATGTGTTGATTCTCTTCTTCAACTTCTCTCTCAAGTCCTAATTCCTAAACATACAAACTGCTTTAATATCATTCTTAGTACATAATAGTAATTTGGTTATTATTTTTCTCTAAAATGAATAGTTTAAATAGCTTCTCAGTAAAAAAATAATAAATCTCAAATAAATAGTTGTCCTTAAATCGTTTCCAAGAGAAATGCCTTTAAATAAGGTTCCTAAACTATTTGAAAATTTCAAGGAAATTTATGCGCTATTTTTTTTAATTTGAGACCTTGAAAATTATTATTTTTTATTTGTCTTTAAATTTTTTCAAAAATGCCATAAATTATTAAAAAAAAATTGATGATTCTAAACTACCATAAAAATAATTTTAGAGACACTTTCTTAATTTAAGAACCCAATTAAAAAAAATTTAAGGGCTTAGATATATTTTTAATTCTTTAAAGCTAGATTTTTTAGTGGTAGGAAAAATTGGAAAAATTATAATAAGATTCAAACTTAAGTAGCATTTGTTTTAAGGTGTTATTTTACATTTTCAGAACCAAGATTCCCTATAATATTATAAGTAAAAATTTTATTTATGGATATATTTAAAAAGGTGTTTGGTTACTTTTTAATATTCCTAAGAGTATTTTTTAAAATTTATTATAATTCAAATAAAAATGAAATTACAAGTGTCCTAGAAATGACTTCTCGCGTATTCTAATGAGAATACCACTTTCTTACCTTTTCATCTTAAGAATGAAAACTTGTTAAATTATGAGAATGTAATTTTTTAAGAATAAAATATACTTAAAAATCTTATTACATATCCTTTTAACATGTATAAGAATAAGTATTCTTACTTTTATGTTCTCGAAAATAGAAAAAAAGATAATCTAAAACAAGTATCGTAAAGGCTTTGCGTATACTATCTTACTTCTCTATTAGATGGTCGATCCTAATAGTTTTTCCTCAAACTTAGATTTAGGCATGACAATTAAATCTACACTCAAAATATCATGCATGATTTTGTTTTTTGGCTATAATAAATAATAATAATAATAAATTATTAAAATAATTTAATTAAAAAATAATTTATCAAAATAAATTGTTTTAGCTATGTAAAAGAGAGGAATAGAAACGTCATCCTATTTGACGTTTTCTGCATGGTTGAACAATGAACGTAAAATGTTAGCATGGTTGACGTTTTGTGCACAATGCAGTAGGGATGAACAGGATCATGTAAAGATGAATAGTAAACAACAAAAAAACGTCATTGTAATTGACATTTTTTGCACATGCAGGGTTCAACACTAAATATCATTATAATGGACGTTTTGTGCACATGCATCCATGTACAAAAAACTTCACCAGGGTTGATGTTTTTCATGTAGTAACATGTTACCCTGACTGACGTTTTGCTACTGCTCCTCAATTCTCAGTGTATCTTAGTCGAGTGTCTTTATATACTTTTTCAACACTAATATTTTTTTAAAATATTCTTATTATTAATTTAATTAACACCAAAATATTTTAGATAAAATATATTTAAATAAGAGTAACAACAATTATCCCTTAAAATTATATTTTTATAGGCTTAATAAGTTACTACGGTCATGAGTTTTCTAATAATGTTTAATTAAGTATCTAAACAAGTAGAAATGTAATTAAATTATTAATTTTTCACATTTTTATAATTGAGTTGTTAGAATTATTTTATAGTGACTTTAAACTGTGATAAAAATAAGTATTTCACATACATAAAAATTTAAACATTACCAAATTTTTTACGTATATAAATTTTAAACTTAAAAATTTACATGAAAAAATAACATATAATTCTTTTAAACAATTAAAAAAAACTCCATTTTTTAAATTTCAATTTAATAAACTAATTAATTAATTTCAATTAAATTATATTTTATATCACTTAACAAATTTAATTTCAAGTTAAAATTATAACTAATGATAAAAAAAATATTCACAAATATTTCACATCAACAAATCTATATCCTAAAAATATATATGCAAAAAATCAATTATTATTATTATTATTATTATTATTATTATTATTATTATTAGAATCAACTTAAAATTAAACATAACAAATTCTAAACCATAAAACAAAATATTCTTATATTACTAAATCATTATTATATAATTATAACCATACAAACAATAATATTAATACTTCATCTTAATTAACAACACATTTATTTTTACATGCATAAAATTATAATCATCACCAAATTTTTCACATACAATAATCCTAAACTTAAAAATATACATCAAATTAACAACATAAACATTATAAATATTATTACTATAAATAAATTAATACTATAACTAAATATATATAAAAAAACATTAGTGTTAGAAAAAGCATGTAAAGACACTCGACTGAGACGCACTAAGAGTGAGGACTAAGGAACAGTAACAAAACGTTCAGAGTGACATGTGATTACATGTGCACAAAACGTCCATTATAGTGTGAATCTTGCATTTGCATAAAACGTCAATTATAATGACGTTCTCTATTGTTTACTATTCATCCATGTTCATTCCTGCATGATTCCTATGCATCTTGCATAATCCCTATTCATCTCTGTTGCATTGTGCACAAAACGTCAATTATGATGATGTTTTGTGTTCATTTTTCAGCCATACAGAAAGCATCAAGTGGGATGACATTTTCTGTTCCCTCTCTCCTACGTGGCCAAAATAATTTATTTTGATAAATTATTTTTAATTAATTTATTTTAATAAATTTATTATTATTATTTATTATGGTCATGATTTTCGTGGAAAAATCCCACTATAATTATATATGAATTTTTCTCAACTTGAAAACCTAGTTTCACATATGTAACTCTCCACCATGTACCCATATTTGTCTAATTTTTTTACAATAAATATATATATATATATAAGTTATTTTTTAGTTTTTTATAAATATTAAAAATAGAAGTTAATTATTTTTATAATTAAATAATTTAAATTATAACTATAATTAAGTAACAAACTTAAAATAATACATTTTATTAAAAATGTAATTTAATTCTTAAATTTTTTATTTATAAATTCTTTTTTATTTATTATTTTATATATTATTTATATTATAATATAATTATTAACTTATAATTTAGTTTATTTAAAATGTATAAATAAATTAATATGCTAAAAAAACATGACGAACCTATGTAAATTTATCCAAACTCGACAAAATCCAATAAAAATGTATCTAAAAAACTAAATTCATCTCTTTAAAACTCAAACATAAATCAGTCCCACTTTTACGGAATCGAGGACAGAGAGCAAAACTCTTGGTCTGTTTTGTTGTCATCCCAACTTAGATTATTTTTCAAATTTAAGAATTAATCTTTTTAATTCCTATAATTTTTTTAAAATGTTTATTCCTCGAGGACCACCTACAGCTTCAGTTAAATTTAATAATTTAAGAAAATAGTAGACTTTATGTGACAAATTTACTAACAAAATTTAGACAACCTAAAATATTTTTTCCTTTTAAAATTACAAGAACTAAAGTATTAATTTTAAATTAAAAAAAAAACTAAAAATAATATTACCTCGTAAGATACTAAATACATATTTAACTAAAGCATGTTTAAGCTAAAATTAATTTTTGAACATGCTTAAATTTCTTGATAGTTTAGGGAAAAGCTAAGTAATTTAAACAGCAAGTAAATTAGATTCGTAGGTTATACCGATAAAGTTCTTTTTAATTTATGTTTGCATGGTCATTGATAGATAACTACAAAACCAAAAGAAAGAAGAATAAGGAATAATAGGAGGCAAAGTGAACAGAAGAATGGAGTTTAAATAAAAGTAGAGAATGGATACAGTAGGATCCACTCCCAACTAGAACCTGATTTGGAGTTTAATTTACCCCATAAATTATGAAATGAAAAACCATCACACCAACCTCTTCCCAGTGCCTATTTCTAGTTAAAACTTAAAAAGGCCTGGAACTATCACTCCAAATTCACCTACCCAACAACAACTAATTTATACAATACAATCCCCTTAGCACATCATTAAATAAAATTATAAACCTCGTGCCTTCGGCACCAACATAGTTACTTTCTCCCTAAACACAACTATGACACTTAAATTAACCTATACTATTCAATTATTCTTCTGTTAAGTAACTGCATATAAAAAGGTGCTTTGTTAACCATTCATCCCCTTCTATTGCTAGTAGTTGGAGCACAAACAGCTTCAACTGATAACCGCTTCAACACATTCGGACATGGGTCGTGTCCAAAGTTACTGTTTGATACACTGACCGTGCATCTTCGTTTTCCTATACATTTCTGTCAAAAATGAAATGACAAAGAGCATAAGTTATATTATCATCCAAAGAAAAATGTGTTACTAAGTTAATGAAGAGTACCTTCTCTAAGATGGCATAGGAAGCGGGAGAATGACAAACTCCCTGCTCATAGTTCCCACAGGTCCCCAAAGGAGTTCCAAAGCTTGCAAATTTAATGGAAGAAATGGCCTGGCCAAGACTACAATGCAAGTGAACTTTTGGAGGATGGAACACCTCTGATTTTCCGAAGCTCTCAATGTGCCAATTCCTAATATTTGGGTGGTACTCAGACACATCAGCGCACACACTTCCCACTGATCTCTTTACAAGTGAAATTCTTGAAGGATCTCCCCCAAGTTCCTCAAAGACAACTAACAGATTATGATTTGGCTTCAACCATGATCTAGGTACATGGTACCTGAAATATTTAGTACCAAAAGTAAAGGACTTTGAGCCTAAGTGAGCCATGCATTATCTATATAATGAGTCTGTTTGAATACAAAATTTAAAAAAACTTTTGAAAGTTTCTCTATCGAATTTTTTTCCAATAGAGAAATTTTCATAAACACTTTTAATTTGTATTCAAACAAGCTCACTATCAACAAAAAAAATTATACTGACCATCGTTGGGTTGGTTGGCCACAACCAACCTGACACTTTGGAGGGCGGAATGAGCCAGCGTAGCTGCAACCATTGCAATTACCGGTAGCTGGAGCAGTCCAGTATCTTCCAATGCTCAGCCCATTAATCCATATTTGACCTTTACCCATACCTTCCATGTCCAATGCCAATGGCTCGTCTCCTGCTGGAGTATCGAAATAAGTCTGCAAATTTACCAATAAATTTTATTGTTTTTGAAAGCCAATATTTGGTTTCGATGAACCTTAAGCACATTTCTGTTTATTTATACCTTGTGCCATGTCAATGGTTGATTTTTATCTAAAACTAATGCTGAATCCATCCACTCTACCGAAGAGATACCATTTGGAGATGCAAGATTCATGGCCTCTCCTTTCAACCCAACCTGTTTTTTAAGAATTGGCATGTCTTAGTATAATTTTTTACTTTGTAACTGAGACAACAAAAGCAGGTTAAGTAAGACTAAGCAACCTGGTAAGTCCATTTCTGCCAAGATAAGTCCAACTTTCCTTGGTCAAGTCCACGGAGTGCAACTGGACCAAGGATTCCTGTGTTCCAAGTCTCAAAATGTCCTCCCACGTTCTATGACAACACATCAGAAAAGAATGATATTATTCATTAGTAGACAAAGTATAAATCCTTTATACGCACAGTTGACACACCAATAAGGAGGATGAGTGGACATGATGGCACCTCGTTCAATTAATAAAGGGTAGAAGACCTTTCACAAGAAAACTAAAGGAGAAACCAAATACAATAAATAAATAATATTTAAATGGTTTTGCTGAAAATTTGTCTTTTGATATAACCCAATGAATTGCATGAATTGATACTTGTATGTAGTTTCCTCCATCCTCAACTGCAGTAGGATTTCAGAAAGTAAAGGTGGAAAACAAAACTTACTTGAAGTCCAACAGCAACACTGAGTAGAGCTATTTTGTTTGTTCCAGCACGAAGGTTTATCGGGCCAGTATATCTGAATCTCCTATCCTCCCTTGTTCCATATGCAGAACCTGTTTTTAATATATTTATAGTGTTTCCTTTGACAAATAAGATGGAAAGGAGATATAGAAAAGAAGGAAGCAGAAAACACACCAGAAAGTTGACCATTGATAAAAACATGCACTGCATGGCCTGTGGATTGAACAATGAGAGTGGGGAGTTTGCCACCATGGAGAAAGGATTCGGATGAACCTATATCAACACTGTAGACATTTTGATATGAAATAAATTAGTTAGTCAAAATGGTTTATTAATATTTATCATTTAGCAGCAGGAACCTACTAGAGATCATATTCAATTCAGCATCTAGAAAACCAACTGTTTATTTTCATGGTTAATGCAAGTGATTTGTTGTGTGTTTCAAAAACGAACAAAAAAAACTGCTAAGAAAAAGACTCAATATTGGTCATAGTGTCAATGCATGGTGGAATAAAAATAATGACTCATACAGTTCTTCAACAAACTAAGAAACTAGGAATCTAAAGCATAAATAATTTCAGCAGTAGGATATTGACAAATTCACTTACTTATGGAACAAACCTATCAAACTTAGAAAATCAAGCTTACCTAGTTATATACCAAAGATAATCACTTGAATCCCGTGTTACATTTATCTGTTCCAAGAGACCAGAAGTAGTGATTGTGGCAGAGCCATCATCTAGAGAAGAAATATCTTCATCAAAACTCTCCCATGAAAACATCCGAGTATTTGTTGGCAACATTTGCATCTGAGATGTTTGCACTCCAACCTGATAGAGAAAGAAAACGACTTCAGTGGTTTTACACCATTTTAAATTGTTAAATCTCATCGAATGGAGATATTAAAGGTGAATAAATTGTGTCCTAGGAAGCCTAATATGGTGATCCCTGAGTACCAATGGAATATGATGATTTCAAATCTTAGACTTTCGTTACGTACTTTTGCTGTATTAAAAACAACATTTCTACAATCAGGGAGGATGCTGATGGACCAAGGAGGTAAGTTATAGTGCATATTGTTGAACATCACCCTAACAGAAGATTTTGTATCATAGTTTGCAAGGAAAGCAGCACAGTCTCCAGATTCTGTAGAGTATACATGAGCCTGGTAAAAGGTGAATACCCACAGGGGTCAGCAAACAAAAACTATGGCACGATTAAAAGGAGAGAAAAATTGAGAGTAAGTTACACCTGCTGGAAGTTCCCTAATGAAGTAACAACAGGATCAGTTGAAACTAAAGCCCGCTCACACATCTTGATAGCCTTATGAAGCTCCTTTAGATGACCATACTTTGGTTGTCTAATCAAACCTGTCATTTTTTTTAAAAACAAATGTATTCAGTTAAGTCATCAGGGTGGCAAGTCTCTTGACTTAAAATTGTTGATATAGGTCCAATAGAAATAACTAAGGAAAAGAACAGTAATAGCCAGCAATCACATAAATTATAAAACTTTCAGTTCTCACCATATTCATCCAGTGGAGCATCATAGTCATAACTTGTAGTGATGAAAGGGCCTCCAGCTGTTCGGCCAAAATTGGTTCCTCCATGATACTACATGCGCAAAGAGAAGTTACTAGAGTAAATGCTGTCATCATCATCAAAATTTTTATGAATCGGCCTTTTTTGTATAAGATAACCAACCATATAGTAGTTTACAAAGGATCCTCCTTTTTGTATGAATCGGCCAACAGCAAATGCCAAATCCTGAACAGGTCTTTCATGAATTGGACCTCCAAACTCGGTAAACCTTCATATTTGACAGAAAAAGTTATGCAAGTTCATTTCTTTAATTCCAAATTTTGAGAGTAACAATAAAAAAATAAAAAATGGTTACCAGCCACTCCAAGCCTCTGTCCAAATTGTAGGCTTATAGGGTTTATTAGGAGTAAAATAATCGCAATAAAAGCCATTGCATGTGTTTATCTGTCATTAAACCGGAAACAGAAACAGATTAAAATACCAACCACATTCCTGAACATGCAAGGTTCTTGAAAAAGAAAAATTAGGGCAACAAACGCATTTTATTTAAGCTACACACCTCTTGATTTTTTATTATAATAATAACAATAGAACAAAAACAACAACAACAAATGTGATGGTGCAGCCGAGGGCAGCATGTAATATTAGTACATAACTTTCACGACAAAGGAAGGGTGAGAATGCTCACCACTGGATCAGGTGCATCATCTTCCTTGCACATCACCCATGGGACCCCTGTTCCCGTTTCAATAGCCATTTTTGCAGCCCAGTTCACATACTTTTGGCCAGCAGGTCCAAATAATTTACTCTGTCCCCCATACTCATTTTCAATCTGAAATACCATATTGTGAATAATATTATAGCCACTTAGCCAGATCTAAAGTGAAAAGTCTACAGCTACTGGTGGTATAGTGCCCTTCCAAAACAATTCAGATAAAATTGGTAGACTATATATAAATACACAAAGCAAGTTAACAATGGAGACTAAACAACACCTGAGAGAGTATAATAGGACCACCCTGGGATTCATAGAGACTTTCACTCTTCATCATTCCCACAATCTTCTCAGTAAACCCTTTCATTGCTTTCTGCAACATCGTTAACGGGTCATCAATAAAACCTTTCAATTGAAAGATTTTAGTAACTCACTCAACAATGTCATAAAAATTGGCTTAAGAGAGACAGAGAGAGACACCTTGAAAGGTTCATTGTCTGTTCTAAAGCTAATGCCCGGAACATACTTGAGCCAAACAGGAAATCCTCTGCACATTACAAGGGAAAAATCATAGGAAAATCGAACACCACCCCACATGACCAAAAGAGCTCGAGTTAGAAACAAAACAACATAAGAGAAAGAAAGTTGGAAACTTTAAGGTACCCGAAATTCCATTCTGCACAGACATAAGGTCCAATGCGAAGATGAGCGTATAGCCCCGCTTTCTGTACTGTCTTCACAAACCTCACCAGATCATACCTTCCTTCAAAGTTGTACTAAATCCAATTCCATGCAAAGAAAACACAGAGACATTAAACCTCAAATTCAACTTGAAAAAAAAAAAAAGAAGAAGATAATAAGTGGCTTAGAGAGAGAGAGTGGTAGTGAAGTACATTGCCTTGAGAAGGCTCATGAATATTCCAAAAGACGTAGGTTTCAATGACGTCTATACCCCCCTCTTTAGCCTTGAAAATCAGATCTTCCCACATCTACAGAGAGAAACAAACATGGAACAAGGTAAAGTTTTTTGTCCACGAGAAAATTATAAGAAGAAGAAGAAGAAGAAGAAAGTTACATCTGGGGTACTTCTGGGGTAATGTATGGAGCCTGAGAAAAGGATTCTCCTTTGGCCATTGATAAGGATGGCCTTTCGGTCGTAAGCAACGGTACAGTGAACCCGCTGCAGCTGATAACCCAACCACAATGCCAAGCAGAAGAATGCAAACGGCAATTTGGAAACCGAGGTGGTTTCCATGTTTTCCCAAACGCTGTAGAAGACAACAGAGAATGAAAGAGAGGGTGTGTGGTGTGCTGTTGCTTTGAGTGCTGTGGTTTTGGTATCCAAAGAGAAGAGAGTGGTGAAGGTGGCAAGTAGGTCAATTAAACTCGGTGTTGAGGGCACTAAAGTCTCACACTCTACTCATTCAGTGCTGACTGCTGAGTAGACCAATTTATAAGACGTAATGCAAAACAGCTTTTTTCTGAATGTTCACACAACACCGCTTCCAGTAAAGGAGTAATGTAAATTATGTCTGAAATGTAATCTCTGTGTCCCACACCCAAAACACAAGGAATGTGATCAAAATAAATACTACTACAACAACTCTGTTAAATAGCAAAAATATTATTATTTCTTTTTAAGTTTGGCAATCAACGGCTTTATTGTCGAAAGAAATGTAGTCCTTTAATTATAGTTATACTTTTTTTAGCCGGTAAGAGAAGAATGAAATTCAATTCGCGCATAAAAAACGGTGGTCGTTAACTTTGTACTAAGAACGTGACACAATACAAGTCAAGGAAAAGTTAGTTATCTTTATTTTTAATAATTATGCTTTCACTAAATCAATTAATTTTAGAGGTAAAGTAATAAATTATTTGTACTAATAAATTTTGATATTTAATTAAACATGATTAATGGTCAAAAGTGATTTTATAATTAAATACAAGTTAAAAATAAAACTTGGTATAAAACTTGTAGAGTTTAATGGTGATGCAATAATAATATAAATAATTTTACATTATCAACTACCAATTTATATGAACTTTTTGTTATTAATTATAAAAAATTAAAAGACAAAGTAAAACTATTGAGTACTATAAATGCATGACTTCTTTTATCAAACTTTTAATAGAACGCAAAAATGACCTAACATTACTTCAGCTATAATCAGTTATGGTCCTAAAATCAAATCTTTAAGACGTAGTCAAACATAAACATGGACAGATTAACGTGAAACCTAATAGTAGTATTTTTGGTGCATAAACTTAATAGTAGTTTAGGGGTTGGGTTTGATGGGCGAGTGAATGAATGCGGTATTTATGAGCAGTCATGGCCCACACATGAGTGTTGATTTCATGTGAACCTGAAAACTGGAAAGAAAACCCTTTTGCATTTGCCTTCTTTGTCATGTCATGTGAACCAACGGTGACCCAACCCCTTATCGTATTGCTACCACACCAACCATCTCCCATCGTCACAAATTCACAACGTTGAGCCATTTTCGCTGGAAAATCGGAGAAAAACAAAGTGATGAACAAAATAGTGAATTACTAGAACCATAACAAACACAACCCTCACCTTGGATACCAAAAACACAAAAAATCGAGCCTCGCCTTTTTTTATTCAATTTCTTTAGCCTTACAAATGATTCCATCTTTCTTTTTTGTCTCAACTTTCCGCTAATGTCTGAAGCATAAGGAAAAATCAAATGGAAGATGCGAGTCGAGGACAATCTGTCTTATTTATATATATTAGTTTGCTCACTACTTTTTTTTTTTTTTTAAATGTATATGTATTATGCATGTAAGCAAGGTTCAAGCATTATACAAAATAATTCCGTCCATCAAGTTCACCAAAACCAACGGTAAACCAAAATAAAAGTTAAGTACTAAAGAAATAAACTAGCCTCTTTTTTTTTATGTGTAAAAAGTGGCCCTGGGCCAAAAAGGAAAAATAAGAAAGAAAAAAAAAAGTTCATAAAATTTCCTACACTAATAACTTTGATTAAGTAATAATATCCAAAAATAAATAAATAAATAAATAATCTCAGAAGAGAGAGTAAAAACACACATAATAATAATATGGACTCGATAAAAATAAATATTTATATGCAAATATTAATAGGACTAGTATTAGAGTAGGTATGAGTACTATGGTACCTACTTTGTTCTATATATCACACATTTATTTATATATAATTATTTAAATAAAAATGTATTATATTATAATATACAAAATTTAACTTTAAATTTAAATATATTGTTTTATTTATTCAATTAGAATTGTTGTGTCTTTTATTGGTATTTTTAATTATTATTTTAGATAATTTAATCTTTAAACATTATCATATTTTATTTTCTTTAGGTATTACAAGATTAAAACAGTATTTAAACTTAAGAGATAATTGTTTACGCGATTATAAATTAATTAAGAGTTTATGACTTGCCCTAACCCATTTATTAAAAATAATATTTAAACTTGAAAACTAAGTGTATACACAATATATCTAAATGATAGATAAATTAATCTATTCTTTTAAGTTTATAATATATATAGATAAAATAACTTAGATTTCATTTTTATTATTATTGTTTTTGTACTCTTTTTTATTGATAAAAGAAACATGATATCAAAATTTTTTGAGGTGAAAATAAGGCAAATAATGTATCAAAGACTTATGTAATTTGACTTGGCTTGTCCTATCTATCAAAAAGGTCATGCTTCTACTTAAAAAAAAAAGTTTGTTTGAGTAAAAAAGTCATCATTTATGCTTTAAAAAAATGTCTACTAGAGTTTATAGGTTAACCTATTTATATGATAAATAATATTATGTATTATAAAAAGTTATATAGTGTGTAATATATATATATATATATATATATAAGATTAATATGTAATATATATATATATAGTGATTAATAATACTTTTTAATAAAACTAATTTAGTTTGAAATTTTGAAAGTGTTATTATTATCCAGATGAATTGTAGAGGCTTATGCTACAAACTTTTCTTGACATTTTTTAATCCAGATATATTTGTATAGTCTTTCTTTTTTGTATTTTTCAATTATGGATAATGGTTATTTTAACTAATGAATGTGAATTTCAAGAAGTTTTCAATATATATTTGGCATCAATGATCTTCGTTAATAAATTTAAATTTTGAATTCATAGAGAGGATTATAGTTTTTTTTAATATAATAACTTGTTAATTTTTTTAATGTTATTATTTTTAGTCTTTTGCATAGCATAAATAAAATTCATTATGATAGGCAAGGTGGTAATTACATGAATAAAAATCTTGGCTCGTTTTTTAGCATGACGGATTAAGGTTTCTAACTCACCAACTTGCTTTAATCTATTATATTTTGACCTGCCCAAGAGAAGTTAAAATGGGGACGGACGGGATCACTTCTTATAAATCACATTTTTTGTCTTTTAATTTTATTTTCTCATTTTTTATAATTTCTAAAACATTAATTTGAAGAAAGTTTTTATTACCATTTAGTGATGATTTAATATACATACATTTAGCATGTATTTTTATTGAGGTTCACTTGCCTCCAACCTCCATTCCCAAAAGCATCTCCTTATGTTTCGAAGAGACATTGAAACTTAGGCCACGTAATTGCAATGTCAATACAAACACGACTTCAATGATATTTGGTCACATATCACCAAGGAATAACGTGATTAAATGCATGCATACCACTACTAAATGATTATCATAAAGTATTTTTAAAAGTTTTTATTTTTTTTAAAAAACTAAAATAAAAAGTTTGATGAAGAGATAGGCATAGGCAGATAGGAACGCGGTTGACCATTTTCTCACTCCCGTGTGGGGGCCTTGTTATTTTATTATGCGCAGGCTTGGGTGAATTAAAGTTCGTTATTCGTTACTTTTCTTTCTTCTTTCAAAAGACAAAAAGATAGAGAAAGCAAAGGTATATTTTTAGCTACCTAATTTACTTTACAATAACCCATTATTTATACCTGAAAATTCATTTTACCCTGCATGTGTTCCTTAAATTTATTATAAGCTTTGAGCAACCCATAGCATGAGTAGATGTGGTTTCATGGTTGGTATTTAGTAATGAGTGGGTGTTTGTTTTTCATTTTGAAACGCAATTCTTTCGTCTCTTTTCACGTTTATATACGGATTTACATAAAAACAGCTATTCATTGCTTCAAGTTGAACATGAAAAATCATGTTAAAACGCGAATGCAAACACACGGTAAGTCATGACATTCATGATATCTGTCTCGGAAGATGAATCACCCACGTGGCCATGTTCTCAATGCACCTAGTAATTCCGTTTCACACTCTCCTTTACCATGTTATCAATTCTTGTTAATCAACATGTTATGTTTCTATAGCTTTTATTTGTCTTGGTCTTCCACCTTTCATCAACGTTTAACGCCGAAACCAACGGATATGGAGATTGGAATTTTGGAACTCAAAGGCAGTGCTTTTGTAGATCTCATTTTGGTCTACCCACTTCCTAATTGTTTGCATTCTTTTTATTATAATTGTGGAAATCAAATTTAAACTTAACATATTTATGAATCTTTTAAGATTTTTTAATTAATTTCATGAGTTAAACAAAAATTTGTACTTGGGTACTTATTCATCCTCTATAACTTTTGTAATTGAATCTATAAAGTGATTAGAATTGTTGCACACTGTTACATGTATGATAGTTTTAAATCATCACAAATTAACTCTAAATACTCAATTACTAAAACCGTAAAAGATTACAAATTTTTAAAATCTACGAGCATAATTAAAATTTTCTTAAAAAAATTTAAAGAACTACTAATATATTAAACCTTCTAAAAATTATTAACCTTTATCAACACGTTATGGATCTATAAAATTGAGTTCAAATCGATTAAACAAAAATTTCAATTCAACTCTTATAATATATATAAAAATATATATAATTAAAGTAAGAGATCATACTAAAAATAACTAAATTTCTCCACATAAATTAGTTTTCATCAAATTCGATAATATTTACCTATAACTCCACCAATGACTGAGAGAAGCCAAAAACTACTCAAACTTTTACCAATACATCAACTTTTGTATATAGTGAACTTTAATTATTTCATAGCCACTCACACCATAAGTCCGTACCAAATATACTGCAATTATCTTGTCTCAATCGGTCATTTACTATACATAATTGTCATTTCTGTACGTTTATGTACATTTTGGATTGCAAATAAAAAAAATATAAAAAAAAACCTTTTGTTGATACTACAAAATAAATTATGCTTTTTGTGTTATTCCTCCATAAATCTCCCTCAGTCGCTTTCCTCCCATGAATTATTCAATGCGTGATATATATATAAAAGATGCTCTATAAAAGCATAAAATATGAACATTTTAAATGCTTCACGTCCCTCTATATATACAAGTGGTTTAGGTTTATCGTAAAAATAAACCTTCATTTGTTGCTTATCTTTCATGAAGAAGTTCAAATATCAGATATGCATATTTTAATACTTTGATCAAGAAAGATTATTTGTAGCGATAATTAAGCAAACATGCATACTTTTAATATAGTATTAAAGTTAAAGTTCAATATGACAATGATTAGGGTCTCCTCATTGGAATTATGGTGTTTGCCTCAACTTTCTAATATTTTCTCCTTAAAATAGAAGTTGATTTTTTTTATTCAATAAAAAAGTTTAACTAATTCCCACCGTTGCTTCTTATAGAAGGTTTTTTTTTTGTTCATGACTTGTGTTAGTTTTTTTTTTTTTTTTTTTACCATGTGCAAGAGTTTAAAGTTAAACACACTTGAAAAATTAATTCTTAAAAATTTAACAAGCTTTATTTTTTATATATATAAAAGGGAAACGTATTTTTAAAAATAACTAAATTAAAACCGTGGAAAAAATAACTAAATCAATTTAAGAAATTCCATATCCTAAATTTTCTCTCCCTCTTATATGAATTAATTAATATGACACTATGAAATGGAGTTTTTCGATAAAATGAATTAAACTATTAAACTAATATAGTGAAATTATGATTTTTTTTAAATTAAGCTTAAACTTTAACTTTAAAGTAGCTCCTCGTTAATGTCTAAGAATGTAATTTATTTTAAACAATGAATATATTTCATTATCTTTTGAAAAAAGTATCTTCGAGAGTGTTGTGAACCATACTATATATTAATAGTTTAAACCTTTACTGCATCCTAAGTTGTAGTTTTTTCATTTCATTATCGTATTATTGGTAGCTTTGGCCGGATTTTCAAAGACGAAATATCGTTCTTTAATTTTTATATATTATGATGTCAATTCAGTTGTTTTGAGAGTAAGCAAAGTTCGTCTCGTGCAAAAATACGTTTTTATTCCCTCTAAATTTTTCAAATTTTAGTTTTAGTTTCTTTAAATCTTTTTAATTATATTACTTTCTAATCTGAAAATACAACTTTTAGCTTTTAAAATTTCAAAGTTATTTATAAAACACTTAAAAATAATATATAAAGTATTGTCTAAATCATTTTAAAAATAAAAGATGATGTATTTTCAAATTAAAAAGGCTAAAATAAAATAAAAATTAAAACTATTTTTTTGGAAAGACATAAAAACATATTTTTATCATTCTTACCATCAAGTATACCAGTCATTTTGTCACGGTTTAAAAGAAAAAATATAGATTATGGAGTGACCACTATTTTTCAGTCGTATGGCAAATTTGGGTACTTACATCACCATTCAACAGACATTCCCCCCTTCTTATGTTCTTTTGCTTGCCAATTACAATTAAAAACGTTAAAAGATTCCTTCATTTATATTTTTTGTTATATGCGTGTTTCTTATAAGTAATATCATCATTTCCGGCCGTTAGTGTGAAAAAATATTATAAAAAAATTATTATTTTATTATATATTAAATTTATAATTAATGTAGCATAATTAAATTTTAAATAATAAATAAAAATTTACGTTGTTTAGATTAGAATAACAAGAAAGTTAAGTAACAAATAAGAGATGATTTATTTATGGAAAAAAATGTGTTTTGGACTTGGTTTATGTATTTTCTTTTATTTAATAAAGATATATAACTTCCTCCTCCTCCTAGGTCAACTTCAATAGAGATATATATTAACTATATTATGTATGACGCATTTGTTCACACCACCACCTTCTTCTTTCAATTTCCGCCATCACCAAACTTCATTTTTCAATCCACAACTACATTAATGTTCTTCCCAAAGCGCTTTACAAAATCCATCAGCACTAAGGAATCCAATTAACTCAATAAAATTTAAGATGCTAAAATTATATAATCATTTTACTTGAAAAAAAATTTAAGAACTAAAAGTAGAATTAAATTTAAAACTTAACAAACTTAATATACATGTAATTTATAACTGAATCACCGCGTAGAAATTGTTTACACTGCCTATTGTATATATCATTATTTTATTGAAATGGAATAATATGAGTTAAACTTTTGATGGCGTAAAGTTGCTCATCTAATTCAATAATCTTTTTTGGTCCATCATGTTAATATGCGCTGGCTATAAATAACTAGACCAATCTTCTAGAAGTGAATTGATTAATTGATCTCTTGAACTTTATTCGCTTTCTTTTAACTCGTTTTTGTGAATCTGTGATGTAAATGTACTTATATTTTATATATATACTTGGCGCCAAAATACAGGCTTCTCCCTATTACCCTGTTAGGTAAGGTGCATGGTGTCAACAATGTTTTGGATGAGACCATTATTCTGTCATAACCACCCTTTTTCTTTTTGCCTAATTTTTCAATAACTAAAATTCAAGGAAGGTAGGTTGGTCCAAGATTTTAAAATATTATCAGTTAATGCTAATGGATTATTATTTACATCACTCACAGCTAATCGTAATATAAGGAAGCAATATTGAATCAACTATAAGCAGCGCTTGCACTTACATGTAAGAAAAAAGAAAGTTGTATCAATTAAGGATGTGTCGTAACCAAGATTAATTCTTAATTAAAAAAGAACCATTAGAACATGTCGAGTAGAGGTTGCTTACTGGATATGCTCTTAGAAAATGAAAATTTAATTATTTTGGCACCCCACCAAGAAGTGAAACAGCGACCACCAAAATCACCTTGTTATTATCTGTCATAGAAAAGGATAACACAGGTGAGACAATGCAATTGTTTTTCTCACCCAGTGTTTAATAACCAAAGCAAGGACCAATCATTTTCTATTCCAAATGCTCAAAAAAAGTACTTGATTCAAAGGGATTGAGAGCACCACAACTAGAAATGAATTACGAATTCCCCCAAGCTTGAAACAATCATTGGTTGGTTCCATGCTTTGTTCATGTTTGTTGGTTTGGGTAAGCAGAGTAGAATTGCACTTTAACCCGATCATTCGTATAAATAGACAAGTAGAAAGCTTGCAATGATACAACGACAAGAAGATGACTCCAATCTAGCTAGTTCCACCATCGGCTACAACTCAAAGTCGTTTTTGTCCCACAATATGCACATGTAATGATGTATGGCTAATGGGGACACATTTCGAACCCTTCGCTTTGACCATAGATACAACTACGAAAATCATAGCTTCTAAATTCTATCAATTCAGGCCCCACATTTTAGTTTGACCTTGCTAAATAATTAATATAAAATATGCACCGTCAAAATAGTGCAATTCGCTTTGAGATTAAGATTAAACCTTATAAAAGAAAATATTAACCTATTTTTAAATATTTAATAATTTAAAGTTTTTAATATTTGATAGTATTTATAATTTAAAAATAATTTTAAATATTCAATAATTAAATAGTGAGAAAAAAGAAGAGAGAAGACAATAAAAGATGAGAGAGAGAGAAAAGAAAGAGAAGGGGGAGAAAGAAATATGTTAATAGTGGGCTTTAGGGGGATAGGAGCCCAGTGAGTTTCTTGCTATGTCTAAAGACGAAAGGAAGTGTAGTTGGGCTTTGGGTCCAGTACTTAGTCTTTGATGGGCTATGGAAGAAAGGAGGCAACTAGGTATCTGTGTGTAGGTTGATGTTGCACGAGAGTGATAGCATGAACATGCTTGGCGCCACGAGACGCGTAGTTGGAATAATTCCTCGTAGGGTTCGATCAGTGCGGCAAGTGCATGGAGATGGCGATGGCGATGGCGATGGCGAAGAGGCTTTACGTTTTTACAAGAGCAGAGGCCAACACATTCTCATCAACCCTCGAATTCTCGACACCATCGTTCGGAAATCCGCCATAAACCCCACCGACACCGTCCTCGAAATCGGTCCCGGCACCGGCAACCTCACCCTCAAGCTCCTCGAAGCCGCGCGCAAGGTTGTCGCCGTCGAGATCGACCCCCGCATGGTCCAGGTTCTCGAGAAGCGCGTCCTCCAACGCGGCCTCCAAGGTAAGCTCAGGGTAAGTGTTAACTCGCCACACACCTCACCTATTTGATGAAATGCCCAACCCAAAGAAATAAGGGTTTTCTTTTGGTTTTCGCAGGTTATGAAAGGAGATGCAATGAGAACGCAGTTCCCGCGGTTTGATATTGTCGTGGCCAACATTCCTTATGGGATATCTTCCCCTCTCGTGATTAAATTGGTGTACGGAGCGACGCCGTTTCGGAGTGCCACGCTTCTGCTGCAGAAAGAGTTCGCGCGAAGGTTATTGGCTAGGCCCGGTGACTCTGGCTTTAACCGCTTATCGGTGAATGTGAAGCTTCTGGCTGACGTGGAGCTTGTGATGGATGTAAGCAAGAGGGACTTTCTCCCTTCCCCTAAAGTTGACTCTTCTGTGGTTATAATCCGCCCTAAGGGTCAGGTTCCCAATCTGGATCTCCATCAGTGGAGGGCATTCACTAGGACTTGTTTTACTCACAGAAGCAAGACACTTGGGGCATCCTTTAAGCAGAAAGGGAAACTTTTTGACTTGTTCAAAATCTCCAATGAAAATGATGACTCTTCACCCCACAAGGGTGATGATGCTCAAGATATAGGACGGTTTACCTCCTTCAAGGAAAAGATTCTTCGAGTGCTCAGAACGGGAGGGTTTGAGGATAAAAGGCCTTTTAAACTTTCTCTCGAGGAGCTTCTGCATTTGCACTCTTTGTTTAACCAAGCTGGCATATATTTTGATCACCGTCGAGATCCCAAGTGTGATGACAGGTTTGATGACGAGGGTGACGATGAGGACGACAAAGAGGAGTAGTTCATTCCGCCGAAAAGGCGAGATGCTTATCAGCCGCATAATATCATTCGTTTGTTTTTTCATTAGAATGCAAGCCTTCTTGATTTGAGGGTATTTGGAGAAAAAGTATTGCACACGCGGAACATTAACGAGAGTATGGGAAGTGAGAAGACTTATTAAATCTCGTATGGTTGATCGAGATTGGTTTTTTTTACTTAATTAATACGGTCGAGGTAAGATTGAATGATCAAAATCAACGCTTTTTATGCTCTTAAATTCATGTTACGGTAAATGGTAGTAGTTAGAAGCAGATGAAATATTCGTTCGGTTTGGCAATGGATTCGATTTAAGTTTTTATGGCACAACTTGGAACTATCTTTTGACTTCCCTGTGTTAAAGAGAGTTGTTGTACCTCTAGGTTTTAGTTATAGAAAATCAAAATGTTGCATATTACTTTTCTATATTACTATTATACTGTCTCTTATCTTTGACGATCATTACATACTTGATGAATAGATTTCAGATTGTCAAGATTTTTCTTAGTTTATTTGTTGCTAATGAATAAATTTTGCGTAAGTATGTTGCAGTTGAGGCTGTACCACTGTCGAAATCTTAGCTTGTATTATTGTTGGTTGAAAAGTGTTGTGAATAAAAAATGCATGTATTTGATCTATTAATGGCATGAATATGTACATTATTGTATTCAATACAAGAATTACAATGTTTTTAGACATAATATCGATCTAAACACATTAAAAACAACATATTCAGATCAAGTGAAAGCGAAAATAAGAATCACAAAAATCAATCTCTAGTCATTGTTTTCTATTATAAGTTTAGTTCTAACTCGTGTCAAAGTCCCTTCATAGCTGGTCCAAACTCTCACTCTTAATATACGATGATGTTATACGTATAGATAAGTGCAAATTTAGTAACTTAAAAGAAGAACAATACACACCTTATATAGAGTTTTGACTATTACAAAATTCAACAAAAAAAATCTTCACTTACTAGATAATGGGTATAACTATGTAGTTGTTACAAGAATAATGAGTTGAATCTAGACCTATAATGAATCACATTAGAAATAATTTCTACATGAAAATAAGAATATTTTCAAATTAGAAATATTCTCTTCAACTAAAAGGCATGTCTGTTCGTGTTAAAAAGGAAATAACTTACATTTTCTCACATAGTCCATTTAATTCATTATCTAGTAGAATAAGAAACAAAAATATATGAATCATGGTAATAAATTCTTTAAGAGTAAATATTATCTCAAATGTATCACAATAAATGAAGTCTCTCACATTAGTTCTTCAACTTAATGAATGAATCATATGTTTACTCTATGTCAAAAGTAAATTATATTTTTTTAAAAATGTGCGCAAAATAAATGAGAAAACATCAAATTGAATAAGAGTTTCTTCAAAACAATAAATGCACTTACAAGAATGTTACATCGTCAAACTAAGTTATATTCGTGCTACTAACTCTTAAAATTCTTTGATGGCATGCCTTTTGTCAAAGGATCAACAACCATCAACTCAATGTTAATATGTTCAATGACCGCTTTCTTTTCTTTAACATGTTTTCTTATGGCTAAGTATTTGATGATGATATGTTTATTTCGGCTTCCACTCTTATTCTTAGCCATAAACATTGCATCAACTTGTCACAATACAACTTCAATGGCCTAGAAATAGAGTCTACAACTTTAAGCCCAAATATGAAACTCTTCAACCATACACCATGTGAGGTAGCCTAAATTGAGGAAGTTTTGCATTACTCCTCACACTTCTCACCATATCCATTAAAGTTCGATTTCATTTTTCTGCCACACCATTTTGATTTGGAGAACAAGGAGTAATGTACTGGGCAACAATCCCATGTTTTTGAAGAAATTTTGCAAATGGATCGAGCACTTGTCCACTTTCTGTTTATCTACCATAGTATTCTCCACCTTTGTGTCACCTCACAATCTTAATTTGCATTCCACATTGTTTCTCTACCTCAACCTTAAAAACTTTAAAGGCACCTAAAGCTTCATCCTTAGAACAAAATAGGTAAAGATACATGTATTGTGAGTAATCATTTTTAACGGTGATAAAGTATCTCAGACTATTAGCTTTCATGTTTAGACAACATATTTTTGTATATATGATTTCCAATAGGTTTGAGCTCTTTTTTGCACCCTTTTTAGACTTGTTAGTTTACTTACTCTTAATGCAATCCACACAAATCTTCAAAATCAATAAAGTCCAAAGTACTCCTTCTTTTACTAATCGATTAATTCTCTCAATGGAGATATGTCCCAATCTCCGGTGCCACAACATAGAGGAATTCTCATTCATAAAACATCGTTTTAACCTGGTACATACATGCATAGAATTGTAAGTAACATCCTTTTGCAAATTAAGTGAATAAAGACTGCATAGAATTGTAAGTAACATCATTTTACAAATTAATTGAATAAAGACCGCATATAATTGCAAGTAACATCATTCCACATATGAGCTCATCTTGCTCGTTGAATAAATGTATTGCTCACTACCTATTAACCTTCTTTGGTCTTCCATACCCTGCAAAGTATTAGAAATATGGATTGTAGAACTAGAGTCAATCCACAATGTTATGATCAATCTTGACTATATTAGATTCATAATAAACAAAAGCAAATAAAGTACCTTTCTTATTGAGTCAAGTTTTAAACTTTGGGCAATTTTTCTTCATGTGCCCCTTCTTCTTGTAAAAGAAACACTTTGAATATTTTTTAATCATCGACTTGGCAAGAATCTTTCCCTTGTAGTTAGCTTGATACTTTTTATTCTTCACTAAAATAGTCACGTTCACCTTCTTGCCTTCTTCCATTGCCAATCTCTCCTCCTCTTGAACACACATGGTCATAAATCATTGATAGACCATATAACCCTACGCGTTTTTATATAGAAGTTCTTGAATGGGACATATTAGTGAAGCAAGGTGCATAAAATGTTGTGCACTATGAAGGACTTCGACATAGTAACTGTAACAGCCCAAGCAACCCATATAGTCCCACATCGGTTAGGAAGGAGAACGAAGCATGCCATATATATGGCATGCTTCGTGCTCCTTCCTAACCGATGTGGGACTATATGGGGTGCTTGGGCTGTTACATTGGTATCAGAGCCGGGGCCCGGAGCGGTGTGCCAGCGAGGGCGCTGGACTCCCGGGAGGGGGGGTGGATATAGTCCCACATCGGTTAGGAAGGAGCACGAAGCATGCCATATATATGGTTGTTGAGACCTTCCTTGTGTAGACGCGTTTAGGGGTGGCATGCGTGCCATTGCCAGAAACAAATCCGTGAGGGCTGCGGCCAAAGCGGACAATATCTACATGCGGGTTGCTTGGGCTGTTACAGTAACCTTCAAGGTTTTTATATGAGCCACTATATCCATTATGTGCATGATGTGATCACACACTCCTTTTATCTTAGTGAGCTTCATGGATGAAAACTTCATTATATGGGTGTTTTCATGGGACTTGTTAGATGGAACAAATTGTTCATCAATTGTCTTCAAAAGATTATTAACATTCCCATGCTAGTTAACAAACCCTTGGATTCTAGCAAAAATGTTGGTCTTGGATACTAGCAAAAATGTTGGTCTTTAAGAACATAATAGAGAGACGATTAGATTGCTCTTACTTTTCATATGAATCAACAATATCTGAAGTGTTGGTTTTAATAATACTTAGTATTTCATCCTTTCGAATACCATAATCAATGTCCAATCAGCTTAAATGAAGAAAAAATTTCTCCTTTCACACCTTGTTTCAGGAAGATCACATTAATGTCATAGATATTTGTAGATTGAGAAATTGCAAATTTCAAAAAATACAGGCTCAAGATCATTTACAAATTGAGACTAAAATAAATGTTATGTTTTATTGATGCATGTCTTAATTTATGAATCTAGAGATATAAAACTTGTCTATGGATGGAAGTCTTACTCAATTAGACGCATCATATAGCCTTTATGACTAAATTATTAAATTATACTCCTTTTCTTAATTCTTATGGGCAGATTAAGAAATATAACTAAATTTTATCCTAATTAATCGTACTAATATAATAAAATTCCTATGAGTAGATTTTATCATGTCATGTGTGATTAATCACAAGTTATGTTCCTAATGTAACATTGTAACTAATGGTTTTTAACTTGTGTTTTCAACTTCTAACTACTTGTCAAACATAGAGTATTTTCAACTTCTAACTACTTGTCAAACATAGCCTAACTTTATGTGCCTATTAAACACTTGAACTTTACAATTCAATCCATAAATTAAGTATTCCCTCCGTTTTTTTTTCATAGTCGTTTTGTCAGAGTTTGTTATTTTTTTTCATTGTCATATTACTAAAATCAATGAGTTATTAATTTTTTTCTTCCATTTTTACCCTTGATAATTAATACATGTTTCCTGAACAATGTGTGTATTTATTTTTAATGTCTACCTAATTTTTCTCCAACTACTCATATAAAGTTAATGTGCATTTATAAGAGCAATATGTTTCCAACAAAATACTATAAAAAAACAAAAAAAGGGACAACTATTTAATGGAGTAGTTCAACAGTCTAAAAAATGCAACAAAAAAAAAGGATAAAATAGGAAAGTAAGTAATAAATATTTTTGAAAACTAAAATATCAATGATTTCCTTAAATCCCGTGCAAAACCTTAAACGATTATGAAAAAAAACGGAGGGAGTAGCATTTATATATTATTGTGAATTAAATAATATATATGGAAAAGTATTTTACATTGATATTTAGTTACAAACTAACATCTATAATTATAACAAGGTATTTTTTTTGTACATATTTTATTTTTAATTTTACTCAAAACTATTTTCCATAAATTATTATTTTTTCCTGTAAGCTCCATGTTATAAATCACTTACTCATTTTAGATAACTACCTACTTCACTATTTTTTTATTTATTAATTTTTTTAAAATAAAAGAGACACATTTTAAATAACTACTTTCAATTATTTTTTTTTACTCTTTTCAAAATCAAAGAGATACAAAGTGTCTCTTTTTTGTTAGAGTATACCAAGTTTTATTGATTTTTATAATAACTATTTTAAAAACATGCATATTAAACTTCTAAATTTTAGAGTTAGATCCATAAATTAAGTAGCATTGGGCTAAACTCTTGGGGATGAGGTTACAGCCCAGTTTCCGTGGTTGGAGGTTTCATATAGGAAGGGGTAAAGTAGAATTGTTGTGTGGATTGGGCAATGAAATGGGAGATAGGTTAAATATAAGTATTAATATAATCAAATGATAACTAACTTTTTGAATTTGTTTCAAAAAAAAATTCTCTTGTATTTGAAACTGGAAAGAGTAAAAAGAATGAGTACTTTATTAGCAATACATACCAAAATTGATGAGAATTTATGCATACACAATATAGCTTCATCTCTACAACATACCATTGCTTTTACTTTCTTAATAATTGTGGGGTAGAGTTGGGAAAGAACCTACTATCTACCAACAAAATAACGTTTACAAATAAGGAAAGAAAGGTGGGTATTTAAAAACTAAAGAAAATGTGAATATTATTAGGGAAGAAACCGAGTATAATTTCCCCTAAACTTTATCATTACATTATATCTTATTCTAATTCATCAACTCGATTCTATATATTAAACGTAATTTCCACAAAAATATTTTTAGAATTTTATTTAAACGAGAGATTTTTAAATTTTTTAAAAACTTTTTATCTAATTTAATTTTTTTATTTATTAATTAAATTTTAATATTTCAAAATAAATTATCAATAAATAAAATGATCTTGTACTATAATACAAAATATAAATATTTATCATATATCAAAAAATATATTTTATATATCTAAAAATACCTATTTAAATATAATTTGTAGATTCAAACATAATATTTATTTTTATATATAATTTATTATAAATTTTAATTATATATAATAACCTTTTACATATGGCTAAAATATTGGTATAATTTAAAATCAGAGTGGCTGCAACCCTTTTATTTCTATAAGCTACTCCATCAACTTCTTGACGGTGTAATCCAATCAAGCGTTAAGGGGTTGAACACTAATTGGAAGCTTTCTCTTCATCTTGACTGTTGGAAAGTAGACTATTTCATCCTTCTCAGCGACCCAACTGCATGGTGATTAAAATCAATTACATATTAAAATCATTCAACACCTTCAGAAAAATAACTAATCAAATTAAACAATTATATGACTGGTAATTTTAATATTTATATGACCTGTAAGTAGTAACAAGATGGTGAAGGAAAATAGCGAGCTCTAGCCTAGAGAGTTCTAATCCAGGGCACAGTCTAGGTCCACCGCCAAATGGGGCATAGTGGTTGTTACTAGCCACAACTCCAATTTTCTGCAACCATGCAGAACAATAGAATGGTTCTTAATTATAATTATGAATTATTTAATTCCTTAACATGATAAGATATTGCTTTAGAACTTTACCTCCCATCTCCATGGATTGAAGTTATAAGGGTTTTCATAGTTCTTGTTGTCCATGTGAACAGAAGTAAGAGATGCCATAATACCCCAATCCTTCGGAATTAGGTACCCTGGATATTCAGAATAGTTAAACCGCATTATTAATTAATTTATTTTCTCTGTATGCATTATTGAATGCCAATAAATTGCCTTTTGAGAAGAACTCGCCTTTGATTTCTATGTCTTGGACCGATTTCCTCCAAATGCCATTCACAATATTGGCCATTCTAAGAGTTTCACTAATGACCTTTTAGAGAGGAAGTGAAAGACAAAGCAATGAATAGAAAAATAAAAAATGTCATATATACGAAAAGTTATAATGTATTTGCAGCTGATTTTGCACATGGTAGCTAACTTTAGAGACTCACATTTTGAGTAAATGGCAGTGACATGTAATCACTCCATGTATAATCATCTGAGGAATTAGCCTTCAGCTTCTTCAGTTCCATGTTCTCCTCCTGATAAAAGAAAATCTGATTAACCAAATAGTATAAAATTACTAACTTAAAAGTGTTCATTGTTTAGCAGAATGTCACCTAGACTTGTTAGTGTTACGTCATATGAAAGATGGAAAAATAGTGTTGTAATAAACATTATTAACCCTTTTCCCTTTCTTTAAAACCCATCTCTAACTCATTTATTAAAATCTCTTCCCTCCCTTAAAAAGAAAAAAGTCCATGAGCCGCAGAAATTCAATTATTGGAGTTATCGAGTTAAAATGACATGAACAACATATCGTACGGCCAGGAAACACCCACACATCGTACGCGCTCCCCTGATGTTGCTTTCGAAAAAACCCTTAAACCCAATGCGTAATCGCAACTACCAACCGTTTCCTTTCCGTTCGGTAAGTGAACTATTCCTTCATTTCTCATTCTATCATACTATTATAGTAATGATAATTAATTGATTGAATAAATTTGGTTTTTCTATTTCTTCTATCCAAGTGTGTGTGTGTTTAATAATGTATATCAACAACATTTTGGTTAAAAGTAACTTACAATGTTGTGGGATGGTTATTGTCCATATTTATTTATTTCAAAATAATTTCCATTTCCAAGGATGACTGTAAATTAATGTTTTGATGGTACCTGAAGTCTGTATAGAGCGAGAGGGGAATCAGTGAGGAACTTGATGACGGTGGTCATAGCCGTAGGGAGAGTCTCCTCCCCTGGTATCATCATCTCTATGATGTTTTGGCTAATCATTTCTGGACTCAAACGTGAGCTTGAGTTTGCCTCACCCTTATCCCGTAATAGAACGTCCACCACATCATTCACTGCTACATCACCATTGTTATCCGTGACTACCTTCTTCCTCTCCTCTACTATCTTCCTCACCATCTTCACCATCCGTTCTTTAGCCTGCACAATTCACAAACACCAAAACATCACCCTGAATAAACATTTCAATTACAACTTATTTAAGATAACGCATTTCCTTTAACTTACGTACTAGGTTTATAAGAAAGAGTTTGATAGACATGAATAAGGTAGTTAACTTTATGTCAAAGTTTAATGATAGTATTCTTTTTTCTCTAGACTACAATACTTATATTTTTCACTAAAGACAATTTTATTTTTATTCGAATTAAATAGGATACTATGAATAATAATTTTTTTTTATAGTATTTAACATAATTGTATATTTTAATAATAGTATAAATCAATGTATATATTATTTATTTTATAAAAATTGGAACAATTAAATCTGACAAAGTGATAACAATAATAATATAGTAATTAAGGTGCAGTTTATGGGACCTTCAAGGATTTATATAGTGTTGTTCCGGGAAATTTGAGGGGTATGCAAATCAAGCCTTTGATGAATTGTGCAAACTCTCTATAGAGGAAATCCAAATCTTCACCAGGACCAACGCTCATGAGAACTTTGACCAAAACAGGAAACGTAATCTGATATGCAGGCAAGAGAAGGTAATATAATTAGGAAATGACGTAGTAGAAAGACGATAGATTAAGTGTGAGAGGAACCTTTTTGACTTGATCTTGAACATATATAGGTTGTATTTGGTGGGTCCAAGAAGCGAGGCATTGTTTGACAGTGAGTTCAATGTCTTTGGTGATTCGAGCTTTGCATTGTGGGGATCGGAGGAAGCCTGCGATGAGTGTGTGCACTTTCTTGTGCGTGGTGGAGTTCATTTTGAGTATGGATTGTTCTCCCATTAATTCTCTAATTGACTTTGGATAAGCGGGGATGAAGTTCGCCTGGTTCTGCAGAATCACCTTGTTCACTTCTGGCTCCGTCGACACTATCAAATTGCTTCCCAAAATTCGTGTCTTAAACACATTTCCGTATCTGCTCGATCACACACATATTTTAGCTATATAAAATCATATAAAACCGTGGTTCTTTTTCTGTTTTATTAAGGGATGAATAAAAATATGTAGTATGTTATATAGTTGGTGGTTTTAGATGCTAAAAAGTGGAATATAGTATAATTCAACCTTAAGAAATTAATCTGTAAAAAAATAATTGTTTTATACTTATATACATATCGTAATTATTAGATAAAACGGGATGCATTACACAATATATGACATAAAGAGTGAGAGCGACTGTTATTCCCTCCCTAGCTTCGCTTTCACACAGTTAAACTTGAACCTGTAATTACTGCAGAAGCAGCCTTTTTCTTCTCTCTCTCTCTCTCTAAGCAGGAGGACCACAAGGGGATGGATGAATGGATATATATATTTATTATTGGATCAAGGGTTTGAAAAATCTTTGATTAAGGACCTCTTTCACTTTTTTATTTTTACTTCTCTTTGATTAATGAAACAAAACTAGCTAGAAAGTAAACTTAAATAAAATTTAATTAGAAAACGGAAAAGAGAAACTAAAAAGTACTACTCTAAAACATTGCTATACCTAACCTAACTAAGCCAACACAATTGCTATAGTCGGTCCTTAATTTGCATATCTTAATCCGATCATCCTATTAAAAATAATTTCTACACCTATTTGTCTTAAAGTCAGTCTTGAGATATAAAACATCAATTTGATATTTAGAGGTTTGAATTTTGTTTGTATTGAAAAAAATCACGTTTCGCAAGTATGAATTAATCTTTAATTATTAATTTTATAATTCTGCGTGGATTATATTTATAAAAGAAAAATAATATCGATACTTTTTATATATATAAAAAAATAACATTATAGTTGGACATAATTTATTATTAGTTTGTTAATAATCGCATATATATTAAATATAAACGATTATTTTGTGCAAGAATATTTTAAGTGTTTTTTTAAAATAATTTTTTAGAAATTCTTTTTAATTTCTCATATATTTCAATTTTATAAACTAAACCTAATATTTTAAAAATAAAATATTAATAATTAAAAATAATAATTATTTATCATAAATTTAAAATATAGTTTATATGTTTAATCATATCTATTATTATAAATTTAAATATAATTTGTATATTTAAATATAATATTTATTTGTATATATAATAAATATTTAATTAACCTATGATACAGGTCAAAATACTAATTAGATAAGAGAGTGCAAATGAAAAGTACAGAGTAAGTAAAAAAAAAAATCAAACATATAAGTTAACATTTCAAAAATAAAAAAGTGCAAAGTAAATAAATTTTAAAAACTATATACAAGTACTGGGAGAAAATCTATGTACAAGCAACTTAAATTTATATCCCTATATAATTGGATGTTTTATACATAACCTCTATTTTTTGAAAAAGAAATTGACATTTTTTAAGTCTGTCAAAAACCTTAGGAAATAATTATTTATTTCAAAATAGACTGAGTCAAAGACATTAAATATATAATTAAAAACCCTAATTTTATCTGAAACCTTCCAATAAGTCAAGATAAACCTTATCCGAATTGAGCGGACTTGATTCAGTTTCCACTGTTTGGATTATAAGTATACAAAAATGAAAAGAAAAAAAAAAGTTGTTTCTTTTTTTTTTTATTACAGAAAAAAAAAATGTTAGTAACATATTATGTGTTTTTTAAATTATAATATAAATAAAAAAATATTCACAGTCAAAAATAGTTACTAATATCCGTAGAGATCATGTGGACGCACACATGACCAATTTAAACGAAAAATTTAATGGGAGAAAAACTAATTTATAATATTTTCATAAAAGAAAAATTTTACAAATGTCAGAGAGTTCTACATATTTCAAATAGCATGCCACCAGCAAATTCTACTTGAATTGTGAAAAGACTATTATGCGACAAAAATTATTTTTGATAATTTTGGTTTTTTTTTTTTGGTTCTCTAAAGTTAACTAATGAACTAAAATTTGATTAAACTAATTTCCATTCTTTTAAGAAATAGAATAAGTAAAATAAAATCTAGGCATAATAGTGATTAAATTTAAGATCAACATTAAGAAAATGTACAATCTATCAATAACAAATCTTACATTTAAAACATGAATAAAGTGAAACAGTGAAAAAATGGGCAAGAACAAAAATGAGGTTTGCAAACTGCAACTACGAATTAGAGTGGATAGCAAGGAGGAGTGGTGGGATTCAATTACGAGTGTCAATAGCATTTAGAGGAGATGAACGTTAAAAATTTAAAAGACAATTAAATAACATATTTTGAACATGATGCATGCTCGACCTTTTAACTTAAATATATAAAAAAAATCACACTTTGAAACGTTAAAAATAATAAAAGCTATTAAAGAGCACTTATCAAAGTATATTTTGTTCTGTGGCAAAACAAAATTCAGTAACCACACTAAAGGAAATAAATGAATCCTTGTGGCTTCCCCTCCACATTTATCAACGTACTTCCGATGCATTTAGATATGTTTAAACATATTATTTTATAAGTAGTAACAATATTATTTTAAATACATTTTTATTGTTAGTTAAATTTTTTCAAAAATTACAAAATATTTTAAGACTTACTTCTTATTTAATAAAGCTTACTTATAATTTTATGATTTTTTAATAAATTTTAATTAATCGTAAAAGGTATATTAAAGAATATATTACTAACATTTTTTTATAAAAAAAAACATGTTATTTAGATAAACGGGAATAAAAAAGAAAAGGAGTGTTAAAAAATGTGTCCAGTTATTTGGAGTTATGAAAAAGAGCGAAAAATTATAAGAAAATATATTTAAACTTAGAAATTATTTATATTTTATTATTATTTTCTTAAAATGAAAATGAAAAATAAAACATTTTCCTTTCTGAATTCCTGAGAAATTTTGCTATGGAAATTTTCCTTTTAGAATTAAAATTAAAAAGGGTCATAGAAAGTTATTCTCTTTGAATTCCTGAGAAAATTTGCTTTCCCTTTTTTTTTTTCTTAAACAAAAATAATGATATTTTTATTATGTCCCCACCCTATTTTCTTCCTTTCAATTTCCAGAGACGACAAAGGATCAGGGCAGGAAATTGTCCGAAACTTGTGAGTACATGATGTTGTTCATTTTGAAACGTAAATCCAAAGTTGAATTAAAGCAAATAATATTCTTGTTATCGTCACTATGAGTAGAACCAACGATTAATAGTAGCTATCTAACGTGGACCACGACAACAAAATTATCAGCAATACATGCAAATATCTCAAAGGATAGAAGACATCTTAAAAAATTGGGTTTTCAGAAGGAATAGACAACCTGAGAAATGAGTGAGGAGCATAGGAGATGGAAAAGGAAAAAAATAAAAAATAAAAATGGATGAATTCAAAAAGCATATTAGATAAGCATGCATGTGATGGAGAATGCAAAAGATGCATGTTGTGTGGTGTGGAGGGGATAGAATTGAATTGCTTACAAAGATTTGCGTTTTTCCAAGAAGCTAACAGGGTTTGAAGAGTAGCCAGAAGCAATGTAATCAAGGGTCTCTCCGAGTAAAGGCCAACCCGAGTTTCCTTTCGGAATTTTGCCCTTTGCCACATCATTCTTCTTGTTCCATACAAACCACCAACTCATGAACAAGATGCCAATCAGAACACACACACCCATAATCCATTCCATCACTCTTTCTTCTGAATTATGCCACCACCCAGATTGTCGAGACAGGAAGAAAGAAAGGTCAAATGTTTCATAAGTAAAGGGAGAAAATTGATTTTGTTCAACAGTTATAAATGGGATATATTTGAGAAGGGAAAGGGAATCGTGGAATGTGAATATCTAGGACAAGGGCTCCAAAGTCCAAATTAATCATTTAATGACATTTTTTTTAATACGTAAGAATTACAATAACTAATACAAAAGTACTAAGTTAAGATATTCATACTACGCTCATTTGTTTTGTTTTTATTTAATTCTCTAAGACTTAATTACATTCATCCATACCTTTGCTACCTTACTTCTCTCTCACTCTCATCTTTTTCTTTAGTTTTTTATTTTTTTATTTTTAAAGAGTAATGGTTTATAGACACTCTGAAGTTTTAAACACCTCTATTTTTTTTTTCAATTTTTCTTTTTCTATTATATTATATATCACTAATCATATATATATATTTCTCTCTTTGAATAACATTTGATTGTCCAAGTATATTTTTCTTTTAGAAGGTAATAATTGATACACAATTTTTTTTTAATTTTTTTGAGAGTTTGAAATTAAGAATATTAGTTTTTCATTATTGGTTGTTATTAAAAAAATAACATTCCCAAAAAAATATTATTTTTTTGAGAACGATTTTTACTTAGGTTTTTCAAAAAAAATTGTTCCTATATAGGGAGTAGAGAAACTAACATTGTTTAGTTGAAAATAAAGTTTTAGAGGGCATTTGTTATAAGAAATATCTTTTCATATTTAAAAATCATGATTCTTTGAAATTGTAAATCTCAAGAATTGTGACTTTTTTTTTAGAAACGACTAAAATTCATTTGGTAATCATAAATGTAACTGGGAGTGTTTATTACTTAGAAATTAAATATTTGTAATACATTAAATAAATAAATAACGATAATGTGACATTTTATGGAGTAAATTTTTTCATTTAATCTGAGAATGTTAGATTTTCACTGTTTGATTAGAAAAGGCCATACTTTTTTTTTCAAGAAAAACCATTCCCAATAAACAAAGTTTTCTAAAAGTATTATTTTTTAATTAGTAAAGAAAACATGGGAAGTTAACTTTCCCAACTCCATATTTATGAGAAAGTAAAAAGAATGTTGTACCAAATCTCTCCTTAATTCTATAAAAATATCATGTTACTTATATATTTTTATTTAATATAGTAAAAATCTTTGATTCTCAAATAACACATATAAATTTTTTTTAAAATATTTATGATTAATCAAATAGATTTTAATCATTCTTATTTCCAAGATTTATGGTTTTTGGACACGAAAAAATTTCATACACACCAAATGCTCCCTGAAGATAACTGAGTTAGTTTCCATTTTTTTTTTTTAACTTTTTTTTTTTTATAAAACTTTAAATCAACTGTCTTTCTTCTTTACATGAAAATTTGAAATTTTGCTTCAAACCCAATATCTTTCGATTACAGTGGCGATAGACAGATCGAACAAAGTTTTGGTAGCTTAAGTCTATTTTATAACAATTTTATTAAGTTTAAATCTAGCCTATTTATTTATTATATAGACTTGACTTGACTTATTTGAATGTCTAACTTGATCGTAAAATCTATTTATGTAGTATATTTTATACACGACTTACAAATAAATCATTAATTTGACTTAATTTGACTAACATGCCTAAGTATTAAAAATATTATTAATAATAATTATATATATTAAATATATAATAAATTATAAATTAAAAGTCAGATTCATTGACCTATTAAATATTTGACCTAACTTGAATTAATTTATATTTATTAATTATATATTTCATTTATGAATCAAGATTCATTGACATTGAGTGTTAGTTTAAAAACTTACATCAAAACTTATATCTTTAATAACTTTTTTTATATATAAAAAATTTAACTGACCTAACTATTGAATTATGTGATACACAAGATTATGTATATTAAATTTCACATGATTTTAAAATTGTTTGGTAGTTCAACATGTTATTTTACTTTAATATATAATATGATATTTAAAATATGTGTATTAATTTCCTATTTACACACACTTTAATTTCCTTCACTTTTAGTAAAAAAATCGTTTGATTCATCTCCTATTAATTAATTGTTAAATTATACATTTGAATTAACAATGAATCTATAAATCTTAAAAACAATAAGATAAATGACCAAAATTACAAATATTACAATAAATCAAACATTTAAATGACAAAAACATGTAAACAGAGTGTGATGTTATAATTATATTAAACAAGAAAAAATTAGTATTTTAATATATGTTGCATATGTTAAATATTTATTATATAATTAAAATTTATAATAAACTATATATAATAATAAATACTATGTTTGAATATATAAATTATATTTAAAACTTGTATGAATAAATATTTTTAAACATATAAATTATATTAAAAATTTATAATAAATAATTCATATTATACTATAATATTATTTTATTTATTTTAAAATATTAAATATTAATTCATAAATAATTATAATAAATAAAAAAATTGAATTAGATTATATAAAATTTTAAAAGAATCTTTAAAAACTGTTTCATAAAAAAAATTTCCTAACAACGTTGTCGTATAAGATATTTGTATTTAATAAACTTTAATTTTAATCTAAATGATTCTTAAACTTACATACATTTACAAATAGGTACCATAAACTTTATTTTTGTTCTAATTAATCTTTAAATTTTATCTTTTTAGTATATAGATATCTCAAATTTTCATTGTAGTTTAAAGTTTTTGCTATCGAGTGAGAGTTAAGTTATTTATATTGAATATTAATTGTTTCTAACGTTTTTACTTTTGTTACAATTAATTTTTTATATAGAAAATATAATATGAATTCAGGAAAATAAAAATAATGAAAACAATCAAAAAGCCTTTATTTGATTTTTAAATTCTAAATTTTATTAAGTTTTAAATACTTACGAAGATATTTGTTAAATAAAACTAATAAATGCCAAGAACTTAAAATGAATAAATGATTCAGACTTATTTATTAATTAAATTTGATTTTTTTATAAGAGATTATTTATTAAAAAAAAGGTTTAAAAGAATAATTAAGATGAAATTGAAATTAAGGTGCTTATTTGTAAATTCAATAAATTTAAAGATTAATTGAAATAAAAATAAAATTCATGGAATCTATTGCAAATATAAAAATTTTATGGATTAATATAAAATAAAAGAAATTTTAAAATGTATATTTGTAATAAAAAAAAATTTAAGTGTAGAGGAGCCGAGCACTCTTTTCTCTAAAAATAATTTTATACACATAAATATTAAATGCACCTATTAAATAATAAATTTACCTGATATATTATTGCATCTAAATATTTTTTTTTTGAGTCATGAAATATAAATGAAATTATTATTCTAATTCTCTATTTTTTTATTTCAGTCTAATCATGTGTTTTATTTTTTTTTAAATAATAATAATAATAATTATTATTATTATTATTGTTATTATTATAATAATAATTATTATTATTATTGTCAATTGAGAAGATTAGTTTACTATCGGTCTATCATTAAACCAATTATTTAATAATTAGAAAATTATCTTTAAAAAATACTCTAATCCAATATAAATATTTCAATTTATACAAAGAACAAAGAAAACCACTCCGTACATTGTTAAAAAAAAAAAAAAGTAGTTATAGTCAATAGAATGAGCTGTTGTCATTATTATTTTTTTTCTATTTCATGGATTAGTATTTAGTAATGAAAAAAAATAAAATAAAAGGATAAGAGTAATGATATATATATATATATATATATATATATATATATATAT